CCGCGCGGTCTGTGGCATGAATTGTCTTCGCTCGCTCGAACACTGGGATCGTGGGTTCTAATCTCACTGAAGACATGGATGCGTGTGTGCGTTTATTCTCTGTTTGAGTTGTTCTGTGTGGGTTGCGGCCTTGCGACGGGCTTGTCCCCCTTCCAAGGAGCCCTACCGTCTGTGTAAAAAGATTACGAAACTGAAAAAGAGGTCAAGGCCCAACGAAGGGCTGTAGAGCCAATGATAAATGAATGAGGATTTCGTTAAGTAAATTTGAAAATATAGATGAACTAAAGATAAATTAGTATTGGCTGCAGTAAGCGCCAGTCATCAAACCATGAGTACGTACTGTTCCTATTTCATTGTGGTCCAAAAGTTGATCGTGTTCACCAACCTGCAGCATGCAAAGCGTTGTACAGCAAACCGAAGTGCGGACGGCTATATATCACAATGTAACGTCCGTCTTGTTTTGCATGGGAATATTTAGAGCTCAAGATTCAGCCAAAAATCAGATCTGGCCCCCATTCCCCCCCGAGAATCATCCGTCATCCATCACCCCCTCATCAATTTGCCATTTCTTCCGTCCCCTTTCGCTCGTGGCCCAGTGATCGCTCCCTCGTGGATATGCAGCAATCAGGGTGGAGAATTAAGGGTAGACAGATCAACCAGCTTTACAAAACAAAACACGTAAAAAGAAGTGAATACACCATACAGAATTTTGCTTTTAAAAAGAACCACACAACGTTACTCAAAAGTACAATTTTCTTCCACTTTAATATATAATTCATATTAATCGTTGTTCGGAATATTTCTGAAGTGAGTCACTTAACACTTTTGCATTCCTGTTCTCGAAAGGCCTTTCGGATGTAAGATCATGTTTTCTTTATGGATTACTTACAAGATTAATGTTGAAATGGAGTTTCACGGATAGAAGGATCTTTCAAATTTAAATCATATCAGTTTCTCTTTTCTTAGATGGGGTAGAGGTTTTCCAAGCCTGAAACAATATGCTGTATCATTTATCACGTTCATCTTCAAGTCTATATACACAAAAGGTGCTGAGCTCTGGAAAGTTCTGAAATCAGGTAGGCCTATTGAAAACAAAGAAGATACAGTCCTGAAGAATAGCACAGCATTAATACAGTGTCTCATAACACCAAGATTGCCATGGATAACAGAATTTATACGAATACAAAATTCATATGTAGTGACAGAACAATTTGCTGAAGTATAATATTGTGACGTATAGACCCATTGCTACGCAACGACTCGGTAAGCACATTCTTGCAGAAGCGTACGCGTGCAACAATATGTCGTCCATTGGCACGTAACTGATCAGTAAATAAGCTTTTTCAGCAATAGAGAGGATGTGTTTTCTGTGTGGTCCGTGACGAGTAGTTACAAAGGGATAAATAAGGTCGTTTGATTTAGTTGTTGTCAAAGAATGAGTGGACTTCTGGAGATGGCAGTCGAAGGCGATTGAGAAGAAATGGCAAGAAAGGAACTAGACTGTACAAAGATCACTTCATGTTTGATTTTAAACAGTGAGACTGTTATAAATCCGTTGCCAAGATACGACTAGTGAAGACTGAGGGCCATAGTGCGTGTGTAACTGTGGACTGTAAAGTGTGTAGATCAGCAATAGCGCTGTAATTGAATGTAGTCCCGAGTTGTGTGAAGAAGGTGTCAATAAATCCAAATTTTCAATTCATAACCCATCTTATAAGTCATGCAACAAACCCCTACATGTGACAATATTATATTACTCGTCAATTCCGTAAACGCTTGCTGCTCTTCAGATCAAAGGTCTTTATTTTCCCACGTCATATCTAGAAACATGAACATTAACATATAAAATAGTCACGTGTATGAGTGACTATAGACGGGGTTTGGATTGGTAAATGAATTTATTCACCACTTATTCACACGACTAGGAGCTATAAGTAATTAGAGCGCCACCGTTAATTTTCACAATTCACAAATCTCCACAACGTCCGCTAAGCCTTTTCCAGCCTGCTGTGTCGTCATCAGCCGTTCCCTGACAACCGTTCCTAACAGTGGAGATTCTTCATTTTCCCGCGCTCAGGTTCTATCTTCACAGCCTCTCATGGAGAACTGTCTCTCAACTGATCTCTCTTGCAACTATCTCTCTTTTCCTCAGACCCTACCGTACAGAACTGGCTAACAACTGACTTTGTCCATTGTTTATAACATCTCGGCACGGACCTAGCAGTAACTCTGTTGTTGAGTCTGTATTCATTGGCGCAGAAGTGTTTACCGAGCCATATCCCAGAAACGGTCTTTGTTACAGAGGCATCGCTTAGCAACGCATCTATAAACCACAATATGATCATAATTTGTCCTGCTCTTCTGTACTACCTGCCATGCGGGAGGGAAGTGTATTTCGGATGGCTCAGGAGACAGTTCGAAATTACGTGAAGGAAACTAACAGAGGACTAGAGGAAAATGCATACTGAGGAAATTCATTGTTTGTTTCTCTCTAACGAATTTTAATAGAGAGATCAAACCAAGGAGTAGAGATGACCGGAAGACGTAGGGCGGGATGGAAGAGAAGCGTTTCAAAGTTGTAATTATAAAAAAAAAAGCTAATAGGAAGAGATAGATTTCAAGTTATAGAAACAAACAAGATGGCAGTTTATAATTAATCTTAAAGAAATAGGGTGAGACCGCCTCTGTGGCCTAGTGGTCAGAGTTCCTGGCTACAGACCCAGAGGTCCTGGGTTCGATTCCCGTCGCTACAAGTTTTCTGAGAAGTAGTGTTCTGGAACGGGATCCACTCAGCCTCGTGAGTATAATTGAGGAGTTGTTTCAAGGAAATAGCGGCTCCGGTCTAGAAAACCGAGATTAACGGCCGTGGGGATCCATTGCGCTAACCACGCGACATCCTCTATCCGCTAACGTTGGCACTAACTTCGCCGACAAGCGGCGGTCGCTCCTCGGTATGGTTCGCTTGCGGACTACAGGCCACGGAGTTTGTTTTGAAATAAGGTGTAAGGATGTGGACTGGATTCATCTGGCGTAGGATAGGGCCCAGTGACTGGCTATTATAAACAGGATACACTGATTTCCGTAAAGGGCAGGGAATTTCTTATAAGAGGAGGGACTCTATCCAGTTGAGTTGGTACCAAAGCCTAATACAAGGAGAGTCAAATGCTCCTGTCTTTATAGCGTCCATAGAACTTGCTGAAACAGTCGGAAACAGGATCCATACTACATTTCAGTAAACTATTTTTGGAAGGGCTATTTTTTATGGATTTTAAATCCCTTTGATTAATCCCCTCATTAGTTATTGGCAGTTCTGTGTGTGGCTATCTCTAATGATATATACCGCCTGAATATCACTTCAAAATTATTTTCGAAATTAAAATTACGCATCGAGGGGTTGTCTTACGTAATAATTTTATGGTAAACATCAGGGCCCGGATTTTGATGACCTGAAAATATTTTTAAAATGACCTATAAAATGACCGAAAAGTCCAGAAAAATTACCTGAAATATGACCCAAAAATGTAATATGCAGGGCCCGGATTTTGATGAACTGAAAATATTTAAAAAATGACCGAAAAATCCAGAAAAATGACCAAAAGGAGAAAAGAAAGAACACTTCGCTTCCATGTTATTCACATTTCAGAAAACATTCGTTCATTCATCAGTAATCTGTCAGACGACAGGTCCACAGTCTCTCCCAAAACAGTTCCTCCACTTAATGCGATCTAGAGATTTCTCCTTACAACAGCCGTTCAAACCACTCTGGTCACGCCTGTTGCTATACGAACTTGAACCATCTCGAGCATCATTTGCTCTGTGCTTCAAGTCGCTGCTGATGACGCTGCTTCCGGCATCAGTTTTTGGTTTTTGGTGTCCCTCTTCGTCTGATGTCCACCCTTTGACCTGTCCAGCAAGGGAGGCCCTGCCAGTAGCTACGCTACCGCTCTATAGCTCTCAGGGTCCTTGGCATACTCAAACCCCCTCACCACGATAAGGTGGAGGCACCAACGAGGGGGTCACAAAACATATGAAGAAAAATTCCCTAAAATGGCCAAAACTTACAAGAAATACCCTTAAAAGTCCAAGAATTTACCAAAAAAATACCTATAAAATTTACATTTCTGTAACCAACAGATCATATCCGAGATTTATATATTTAAGAGCATCGCATAGGATACAAGGAAAAAAAGATGACATGTCATCAAAATCCGGGCCATGGTAATCATGTTAAATGAAATGGAGAGTAAGTAAGTAAGTGGTTGAGTGCCGTTTTTGAATAAACTTACCGGCTTTCAGAAGCTTTCGAAGCGTGGCCCCGTTTACGTCGCACAGCTGGGAAATGCAATTCGCACTTCTTTGCTTACGCAGACTTTATCTTGCTGTTTCGCAACACCAACTGTGAAATATAATTTTATTTTGGATCTTCTCTCCTATCTTTCCGTTCCCTTGTTTCACTACTTGTAATACTAATGAAGTAAAAAGCATTAAAAGTTATATTAATATTAAAATATATAGCATTCAGTTTCAAAGATAAAGATTTGAACTGGTTACCTCCTGAGTACATAAATTTAAATATAACAATTTACAATGAATAAGTCATAAAATTTTCACAAAAAGTAAATCTAATATTACATTAAATTTCAGCATGCAAACTTTCGACCAATCATGGTGACAAAAACTGTCTTCGGCCGCTCAAACATTGGATCGTTGGCTCGAATCGCATTTGAAGCATGGATACCTCTGTGCGTTTATTCTGTGTTTATGCTGTCCTGCTTGCTGGTATTGGCCTTGCGACTGGCCGATCCCCCGTCCAAGGAGTCCTACCAACTGTGTAAAAGATCAAGAAATTGAAAAAGCAGCCAAGACCCAATAAAGGGTTGAATAGCCATACATACATATAGATAGACGTAAACCGTTGTTAAATGCAATTGCCTTTATAATTCTTTTTTCGTATTACATTTTGTACTTCTGCCTCATGTTGGTTTATTTCTTTTTTACAGGGACAATCCAGTGAGGTGGTGCAGTATCGTTCTGTGGTCCTCAAGAGGTGAAGTGTTTAGCCATTTGACATTAATTCCACACCAAACTTCATTAAATTCACTTTATAAGACACCCAGTGGCTACATCCAACACCCACAAAGGCACGTCCAAAACCTGTCAGAATCTACTGGCTTTCGTTTATTTACTGCAACCACCATTCATTCATCTGTAATCTGTCAAGACGACAGGTCCACAGTCTCTTCCAAAATAATTCCTCCACTTAATGCGATCTAGAGCTTTCTCCTTCAAATGAGAATATCCTCTTCTGTCCCCAAGGTCATCCAGCATCTTCTTACGTCTTCTTCCTCGTCTTCTTGTCACTTCTATCCGCCCCTCTATCTTTCCTTCAATAACTTCTTTTAGAAGGCAGTTACCGCGTAAGACATGACCAATCCAACTGCAACCACCATTTAATGCAAATTATGAAATCTGTTGAAAGGAGAGTAAGTCATTGTTTTAAGGGACCCGGATATAACGGATTTCGAACACAACGGACAAAGCCTGGCTAGTTAGTGAGTTAGTTAGTTATTGGAGAGGGTGGGTTTCCCCATGCACTGAGACCTGTATTGGTCCATTGAAAGCCTGGCTGTATACAATCCTGAATTTTTAGAAATGTTGAGGCTTTAAGAAGGTTTTGTAGTTGAAAACTTCTAGTTAGTTAGTTATTGGCCCAATATAAAAACCTTTATGTAATCACATTATATCTTTCTATGTTTATTGCTTGTATTCGCAAGGTATCCCGAGATAGCCCAGTCGGTATAGCGACCGGCTACAGCATGGGCCACCGAGGGGTAGGTCCGAGTCCCGGTAGGGTCAAAAATTTTCTCTTCTCCAAATCGTCCAGACCAGCTCTGGGGTCCACCAAACCTCCTATCTAATGGGTACCAGGTGCTCTTTCCTCGGGGGTAAAGCGACAGGGACGTGAGGCTGACCAGTCACTTCCAATTAGTGCTGAGGTCAAGAAAACGTATATCTATATATCCACTCCGCCATATGCTTTCATGGCGTAGTGCTTAATTAGTTAAGCACAGGCACAACTTTACCTTATTAGCTATGCATATTTCTGTGTACTTCTGTGAATACACCTTCACTCGGTTATAGCGGACTTCGGCGATAACGCGCGCCGTGCCCCCATGTTGCACCGTTATAACGAGGGTTTACTGTAATTACATGAGAAACCATAGCGCCACTACGAGATTCTGTAAAGGAGAAAGCATAAAAATGCACTTCGTATGAAGATACATTAGCTGCGGAATCCATTATGAGTGTCTCAGAAGCTTCTAGCTGTAACAAATCTCGAAATTTTTAAATTGCCCAAAAACCCAATTAAACCCAGTCTTAAGCATCCATTTAGTCTTATTTGTATAAATAATTGTCGTACTAAAACATAAATTACATTGGCTAGTTATGTACCTAATGAGAACTTCAGAATTGTTTAAATAATATAAACCAGCCTTGAACACTGAATCTTGCTTTCATAAGAATAGCACAGCAGTCATTAATATTAATATATTTCTTTCTTCCTAATAACCGGCTGATAGATGTCCTCTACATTGGATTGTGATCCGATTTTCTGTATTTTGGGATAAATGAGAGTAAATTTATGCAAAAGACCGAAGTTCTATTAGACGCCACGCAGGAGATTAGTGTAAAAGTAGAGACAGAGGACTCTAAGAACATGTTGACAGCCCGAAACCGTAATGCAAGCTACAACCATGACATAGTGTCGAGTGTATTAGTGGCTGTAGACGGAGTTCGGATTGGTGAATAGATATATTGACCACTTAAAAGACTAATTTGAGGACATAACTGTAGGTGTGAGGATAATATTAAAATGGATATTACATAATAGTGTACTAGTGTGTGTAGTGAAATTATCTGTCATGCGATTAGGACCAGTTGCGGGCTTTTGTGGGTATGGTAATGAATGTTCAGGTTCCATAAATTGATGGGATATTTTTGGCTAGTTTAGCAACTATTGGCTTCTCAAATAAAACTTTACTCAGTGCAGTGAAACTGATGTTATACAGATATGTTACGATATATCAATATGTTGAACCCAAGTCGATATCGAATTCTTTTCCCCGATGTCTCATGACATAGCTTTATGAATGCCAGCTGGCATTCTGAACTAGGGGCTAGCAAGGCAGCTAGCAATTTTGTCTCATTTCAGACCGCTCCCCGGTTTCGACAGGCGTCGCAAATTCTTGACCAGATACAGAGAATCCACAAGTGAAAGCTGTCCAAGAAAGCCCAACCCACCGATACAGAATAGCATTAAGATGTCGGTATCTCGCCTAGCAATTCAACGTCCCCAACCCCTCCACCGAACTATTCCGCCGTCCCGATGCTGTCATACTATTGGTCGACGCCTCATCTGCAAACTCCTCCCATTATCACAGCATCCATTGGTCGATGGACCAAAATCTCCGCCCTCGTGCAAGATGTTCAGATGGAATAGTGTTTCATATTGGATATAAGGTTTTGTAAAGAGAACAGTTGGTGCATTTCTTTGATCTGGAAGAGAGTTGCAGTGAGGTGCAAAGATGCACAGTGCAGGACACGTGGTGTGCCCCAGCTCTGCGCCGAGTGTAAACAGTGAGTGACGTCGGCACGGGGCTAAACACAGGCAGTGGTAAGGTGCCGTAGCGTCCGCAGGACTGACAGCTGTCAGGTGTCATGAATGGACTATCGCAGATTGAAGCTGTATGAAGGAACGAGACCCTGAATCCGTGAATATCGTCAACACATATCTAAGGTAATTATCAGACAAAATAACTAAAGCTGTCCTATTTAATTATTCATATTATTAATAATTAATGTTATTTGTAAAGATGTGTCAGTAGTCTGGTTACTTGATGAAACAGTTTTAACTCCATACGTTACACAACATCCAGTGGGAATGGATGATGTTAATGACTGATCAGTTAGTCAAGAATTTGGAAGGAAGTTGTCAAATGTATATCCCAGTTTTTTAAAATTGCCAAAAAAAAAGAAAAATATAAATGATATTGTCTTTCTCTGTTAGTTTAGAATGGCCCATAATTAAATAAATTTAATTAAAGATTGGTTCAAGCTTTCTAGAAGTTGTTAAGAGGAGATAAACATGCGGATACATAGACACACAGACAGCAAGGTGATCTCATAAGCTTTACTTTATTTTTACGAAATAAGGAAAGTAGACAGATATTATAATTATCAGTCAGAGAGTTGGCACGTTTCTTGGCCTGTTCCGGCTTGTTTAAAGATCTTCACCGGCTCCTAGATCCATGTGATTTGCAATTATTTATGTTTATTGAAGTCTGTTTCTCTTAATTCTGTTGAATCCATTTTGTTTAGAAAATGTGCCCAATGTGATATAGAGTTCTTATTATTTTAACAAGTTTTAATTTCTCTTATATTCCATTCAAGTGTATTTCGGGATCCGGGATAGACAGGCTATGGGTTGGACGCCTGAGGTTCGATTCCCGGCAGAGGCAAGAGATATTTCTCTACTCCACAGCGTCCATATCGGCTCTGGAGTCCACCCAGTCTTCTACCTAATGGATATTGGGGGCAATTTCCGCTGGGTAAAGCGGTCGTGTCTTGGACCTGATCACTCATCTCCGCCTATTCACGAAAGGTGGAGCTCTACCTTCACTTTCCCATACGTCTTCATGACAGAGCACTCAAGGAATTAAGCACAGGGACAAGTTTGCCTTTTACCTTTACCAAGCGCATTCCGTCTTTGGGATCATAAACTTCATTTCAGCAACTGTAAGTGTTCTGTCGTTTGCTTGCACTGTTCAGTATTCATTTCCATATAGAAATGTGGGGTAGAGTTAAGGCCTTCGGCATTTCTATTCGAATGTGTTCCTGAACTTGCACTGGCTTATAATTCCTGTTTATGAGGCCTGTTATTTCGAAAAAAGTGAAAAAAAATTCACTTATAGACCCTATATGTTGTGCCCTCCATATCCTAAGCAGCTTCCAAGTATTTTTTTTTAATTCGCTTAGTGAGGGGTGGAGTCCAACTGGGTCCACTCGGCACGGCGGCCACTGATTGGCCTATTGTAGCCTGCCCCGGGTGATTATAATGATGGAGAATTTGGTGGAATAAAGATTGGCAGGGGAAACCGAAATACAGGGAGAAAAGCCGCCCCAACACCACTTTGTTTACCACAAATCCCACGTGACCAGACCCGGGATCGAACCCGGGCCGCCGCGGTGGGTAGCCAGCGACTAACCGCTTGAGCTATGGCGCGGCCAGCATCCAAGTTACTTCGATATGTTGACTTCCTGCATGGCTTTTTTGCTTATGTTAATTTCTGTCGGCTCTATACAGCAAAATGCCACAATTTATCATCTGTCTGTTCAATTTTTCATCCCATAGTACCCAATAATTCATTCGGTTTAGGTGGTCGGTCTTCTGGAAGTGACACATTTGCGATTGCTTACGCATATGCAAGAACTAACATGTAAACAAATACTCTTGATATATTTAATTCTTTATTCCCTCCACTCCTTAGTTTTGTAGTATTTTATTCAAGTACAGACCTTACATTAATCAGCATTTCGGTTAATGGATGTAGATACATACAAATTTGAATTAAATGTAAATATTATTTTGTTATACGTATTTGCCTGTATTTACTAGCTTTAAGCATTCTATTTGGATTATATTTTCCATGTGCTATCCAATGATTTTTCACAATATAAGAACAGTAAAAGTGTATCTATATTTTGAATTGTTTCATTTTGGTCCGTTACACTATTAATCACCAATTGTCAATAGATACACAATACACATCGCGTAAGATACACCCGACCACAAGCCCACACAACCCCGTGCTGANAAATATATATTGTTGCACTTGACGGAAAATCTATTGACAATTGGTGTATCTATATTATCCCCTTTTCTACCTTAAGGCAAAGTTCTGAATTGTGAATCCCCATATTTAACTATTTCGAATCATTTTCCAGTTCAATATCTAAAATATATATGTTGCCTATATTTTATAATGTATGTACAAGGATCTTACCCCTCTACAGGGTTCTTATTCTCCCATCTCCACTTCTTATGATGGGGATAATTATTACATCCCTCCATTCATGTGAGATTTCTTCCGTTCTTCAAATATTTCATTTAGGAATTTAAAAATTGTAACTTACATTTTCTAGATTTATAATTTTAGAGTCCTGAATTTATAGTATCTTCTCATGAAGGTTTGACACTTTTTTGTTTTCTCTAAAAGTTCTGTTAATTCCTTAATCATTCTCAATGCGCCTTCATCATAATTAATCCTATCTGAAATATGTCATTTCTGTTCTTCACCTTCTTTCCCTTTTACATACAGCAACTGCCACCAATCCGTAAGCCTCTACAGAACTGCAGAAATGTGTCTTCATTCGTTTCATCTTGAATTCTTGGAGTTCCTTTGACGCCCTTATTGTTTTAAAATTAGATATGTGCCCAATGTAGATTTGTGTACAATAAGAAATATAAAATTAATATTTGTAATTGAACATAATATTAGAATATGTTAAAATAATATATTGTGATGCCATTGCTAGGCAGTGGCTCTGTAAACACATTCCCGAAATTACGCTCTCAACAATAGAATGAAATCCATTGCTAGGTAATTGACCAATAAACACGCATTCTCGACAACAAAAGACGATGTTTTCCATGGTGCCCATGCCGAGGAATTGTAAGATGGCACAGTCATAAAAACTGGAGGAGTACAATGAGTACAAGGGAGTACAACGGAGTAGTCAAGCCCAGTCGTAGTTAGGTTCAGTTCAGTTGTCCGTTGAAAGTCAGCCTGTGAAGAGAAGACCCAGCATGACATTGTCATAAATCCGTTGCCAGGATACGACTAGTGTAGTCTGAGAAGATTTAACGTGTCCCAGTGAATTGTGAAGTGAGTAGATTAGCGATAGAACTATAATTGATTGTGATTAAGAGACATTGTTAAAGCAGCTGTTAATAAATCCAATCATCCACTCCGAAACCCGTTATTATTAGTCACGGAGCCATAAACACGTGACAGTAATTTTTTTATTAAAGAAATTTGTTACAGATGCTTTTATAAATAGATTCTTTGAAATATTATTGGTAATGATTAGAGTTTAGAATAAAATAAATTTCAGATTTATTGTATAGGCAGTCATATTCATTATCATCTGTAAGGGTTAAGTTTATTTACCCGCTCCTACCTCAAATATGAAGCCATATTTTTCTTGACCTTCCTGGATCACGTCTTCCTACGGGTTGACGATATTAATTTTCTTTGGAGCTCTTTCTGATGGCGTCCCCTGCAGATGTCCCAACCAGTTTTCTCCCTTTCCTGTATCTGCTTGTCAAACTTCCTCATTCCTGATTGTTACCTTGTTTATTCGCTCCTTCCCCTCTCCCATAGGGTATAACTTCCTGCATACCGTAGAAACCGCAGTTGTCCTTCACATGTTCTCTTAACAGTTCATGTTTCGCTACCATGCCATATAGGCGTCAACTAGAACATTGTTTTCTAATACTGTAAGCAGCCTCCTCTGTGGTCTAGTCGTCAGGGTTCCTGCTTACAGATCCAGAGGTCCCTGGTTCGATTCCGAACGCTACCAGATTTTCTGAGATGTAGTGGTGCTGGAACTGGGTCCACTCACCTTCGTGAGGATAATTGAGAAGCTGCTTGAATCGAAAAGTAGCGGCTTCCGTCTAGGAAACCGAAATTAATGGCCGTGAGGTTTCGTTGCGCTGACCACGCGACACCCTCTATCCGCTGAAGTTGGCACTAACTTCGCCGATAAGCGGCGGTCGCTCTGTCGGTATAGTTCGTTTGCGGACTAAATCCAAGAAGTTTGTTTTATTGTTTTCTAATATGGTAAGCAGACTCAGAGCTTTGCAGACACCTCCATGCTAGAATTGTGAGTGCAATTTGAGTTTTCCACGACGGTGTAAGGTCAGATCGTGGTCTTGTTCGTAGCGACATGGGTACCAGTGTGGGCAGATGCCAGTGGTTACCTACTGCCCCATCATTAGGTTAGACTGAAACTTCCGCCTCTATGTTCAGGATAGACTCTTGCCAACCTTCCTTCAGCCGCTCTATTGTTTTGCAGTGTGCAAAAATTACTCTGAAAATTTTGCATATTTTTATGCAAAATTTATGGATCCCTAATTGAGCAACAGCAGTGTCGCTCCAACATCATTAATTCGCGCATCCGCCATGATAACATTACTGATGTCAAGAAATGTAAGATGTAGAAAGTTGTGGTTACCTCCAATGGCACAATGTTCATGACAAATTTTGTGAGCCGGCAAACTGGTTCAAAAGTTGTAAAGTAACACACAGAATTATCATGGTGACATCATGTATCTAAGTGTTTCCTTTAATAATGAAATGACGTAGTTATGAATATTATTACATATTACAAAGTGTACATAAATCAGGAAATCGTCTTGAAAAGGCAGAAATATTTTCCTGCACACCCCTTCCATTCATCCCCACCCCCCAGCGCCCGTCTTCACGGTTCTAAGATTTAAAACCAGTGCAGCTGATATGGTGTGATAAATTAATGGCAACCAAACACGGGTTCTGTGGTTGTTACTTCTGCTTGATGTCTGGGAGTTCCAGAGTTAAGTACTGAACCAATTTTTTGTGTTTCTTTTCTCAATTTTTTGTAGTAAAATAATGGGGTAATGCCCAGAAATAATCCTTCCTTCATAATTACCCATTCGCAATCACGCCCATAAAACTACACAACTTTTGAATTAGATAA